CCCTCAAAAAATATGTTTTAATTAGAGCAGTAATAGACTGGTAACGGAATGATGATAAGTTGATTTGTTTGTTGAACTGAGGGCCTTGCACACACTTCACAAGCACTGTGCTACCTTGCTGTGTGACCAGCAGATCAAAACTACAAACACCAAGTGTTAAGACCATCTTCAGGGGAGCTGGAGAGATGGCTCAATGGTTAAGAGCACTGACTGATCTTTCAGAGGACCTGGGTTCAATTCCCAGCACCCACAAGGCAGATCACAACTGTCTGTATTCTAGTTCCAGAGGACCTGACACCCATGGCAAAACACCAATGCATATGAAATAAAAATTAAAAAGAGAGACCGAGCCGGGTGGTGGTGGCGCACGCCTTTAATCCCAGCACTCGGGAGGCAGAGGCAGGCGGATCTCTGTGAGTTCGAGACCAGCCTGGTCTACACCAAAGCCACAGAGAAACCCTGTCTCAGAGAGAGAGAGAGAGAGAGAGAGAGAGAGACCAAGATGGGTGTTGGTGGTGGCAGGCAGATCTCTGTGAGTTCTAGGCTAGCCTGGTCTCCAGAGCGAGTACCAGGATAGGCTCCAAAGCTACACAGAGAAACCCTGTCTCAACCCCCCACCCCCAAAAAAAGAGCACTGGCTGCTGCTCTTCCAGAGGACTGGGGTTCAATCCCTAGCACCACATGGTGGCTCACAACCATCTGTAACTCCAGTCCCAGGAGGTTCAATGCCCTCTTCTGGCCTCCTTGGTGCACAGATGTACATACAAAACACTCATACACATAAAATAAAAGTAAATCTTAGAGATTAAATTGATTATCTCTCAAATAAAGAAAAGCCCATACCTGTCATCCTAGTACCTGGGAGGCTAATGCAGGAAGACGGAAGCAAGTTGAGGGCTAGCCTAGACTACATGCATCCTTATTTCAAAAGAGGAGTAGGAAGCTTTACTTTTTTAGATAAAGTCTGTTGCTCAGGATGATTTGTTGTTGTTGTTGCTGGTTTTTGTTTTTCGAGACATGGTTTCTCTGCAGCTTTGGAGGCTGTCCTGGAACTAGTTCTTGTAGACCAGGCTGGTCTCGAACTCACAGAGATCCACCTGCCTCTGCCTCCCAAGTGCTGGGATTAAGGCGTGCGCCACCACTACCCGGCTCAGGCTGATTTTTTTTAATGTTTATTTTTTAGTAATTTATTATTTTTATGTGTATTGGTGTAAGTCTGTGTGATGCTGTCAGATCTGGGGAGTTACAGACAGTTGTGAGTTGCCACGAGTGCTGGGAATTGAACCCTGGACCTCTGGAAGAGCAGTCAGTGCCCTTAACCACTGAGCCGTCTCTCCAGGCCCTCAGGCTGATTTCAAGTTCCCACTGAAGGGGATGATGACCTAGAACCTCTAGTCATTCTAGTAGGCTTGTCTCCACAGCTTTGAGTACTACTAAGTTTTTTGGATTTTTTTGGTTTTGGTTTTTTAAGACAAGGTTTCTCTGTGTAGCCTTGGCTATCCTGGAATTCATTATGTAGACCAGGCTGGTCTTGAACTCATAGAGACTTGCCTGCCTCTGGGGTGCTAGGATAAAAGGTGTGCTCAGGAGTACCAGTCTTATGTAGTGGAAATTAACCCCAGGGGCCTCATGTATGCTGGACAAGCACTCTGGGGATGAGCTACACCCCCAGGGCTTCTGGGATGGGAGAAGTGGTGAGCACTGGAGTTAAATTGGGGGGGGCGGCTTCACACGTGCTAAGTAGGTTCTCTACCACAGAGCTGCACTTCCAGTCAAGATTATCACAAATTTATAGGCAGGTTAGGTACCCAGGCATAGCCAATAGTGGTTTAAAACACATGGCTCTATAGTATAGCATATTATCATGTAAAAGGTCTTGGGTTCAATTCCCAGCACTGAAAATTGAAGGAGGAAAAAAAAAAGGTGGGGGGATAGGAAATTCTGTTTGCTCTTGTCAAATATCAGAAACCATTCTCTAAAAATTGAAGTTAGGGTGGATCTGGAGAGATGGCTCAGAGGTTAAGAGTGAATACTGTTCTTACAGAGGACCTGTGCTGGGTTCCCAGAGCCGTGTCAGATGGTTCACAACTGCCTGGAACTCCAACTCCAGGGAATCCAAAGCCTCTGGCATCCTCAGGCATTCAGGCATTCAGCCATGTGCACAGACCCACACTCAGACACACATGCAAATGCATAATTTATTTATTTTTCCTTATTTGATAGCCCTAGTTATCCAAGAGCCAGGCTGGCCTTGAACTCACAGAGATCCACCTGCCTCTGCCTCCTGAGTGCTGGCATTAAAGGTGTGGTGTACACCACCACTGCCTGACTCATAATTTATATTTTTTAAAATAAAAATTCAAGTTAGGAGCTGGCACACATATCCCAGTATTCAGGAAGTATAAGTTGGAGGAATCCGGAGTTCGAGGCCAGCTTGTTTTGGCATTGAATTGGGCTTAGTATTTGCTTAGAAAAACAACTTGTACAGATGCATGCACAACACCATGAATGCCAAAACAAATGGTAAGATCCATGCCCTAAGAGGAAAATTATTAGCTATCAATACATTTACTCCCCTGTATAGTACATCAAATATATATATCCACCCATCTTTTTTTTTATGTTTCTGTGTATTTTCACACAAAATTAGGATCCTAGCTTGATATGATAATGCACACCAACACTCAGAAGGCCAAAGCAGAAAAACTGCCATAAATAATTTCAAATACAAATGACAAAAATTAGAATCCTACAGTTTCTAGTTTCCTTATTAGAATCCTACAGTTTCTAGTTTCCTTATTTTGGAATGGGCTTCATCTGGTCAACTAATTTTCTCTCTTTTTTTTTTTTTTTTTTTTTTTGGTTTTTTTGGAGACAGGGTTTCTCTCTGCAGCTTTGGAGCCTATCCTAGCACTCTCTCTGGAGACCAGGCTGGCCTCGAACTCACAGAGATCTGCCTGCCTCTGCCTCCCAAGTGCTAGGATTAAAGGCATGCGCCACCAACACCCGGCCTCTAGTCAACTAATCTATCTCTAATCACTGATGAATGTTCTTGTCTCCTGAACTGAAGTCCCAGTTTGTGTGATGTTTCCTCTAAGAGAACTTCCCTCTGGAGCCTCTGACAATAGACCACTCTAAATTGTCATCTCTGGCTCACTTTCCTTCCTTGAAGCTTGTGTCTATCTTGTATGACAATTTCTATTGTGCTTCTTATGCGTCTATTAACTGGGGCCAAGGGCTCTACCGTATTCATAAGTGTGTACTCATACTCACGGTGCCTAAGATCCACACAGAGGCACTTTATAAAGCTCAACATAGTGTGCATTAATTTAATGACAGTGAAAGAAGGGAACTGACACTTGGCCGCTGGAAGGCAAAAGTCAAAATGGAAGTCCATGCTCAAGGCTTGGGTAACCCCAGTATCACCTAAATTCATCCTCCAGTCATTTTTGAGAAAAGGACAAGCACACACAGGGCTCTGTGTATGATATATATTTATATATATAATCACTCTCATTTTATTGTACTTTATCCTCTTTTTACAGTAGATCTGACACAGGCATTAAATAACTGCAGGGGGAGACCACTGGGAAGATGGAGGAGAGGAAAACCCGGGCACTCAATGGAGGAAGACACAGATCCAGTGGGAGGAAGAAGGGAAGGATCCATTTGAGTGTGGGATGTGGGGGCCTCAGTGTTAAGGAAGAAGGGGATTGGTTAGGAAGAATAGACAAGCAGGGAAGCCAGAGGAAAATGCCTCTACAGCTGAGAAAACTCGGAACAGGAGACTCTTATTTAACATTCTAGGGGCATTATAGGGGTTTGTTTGTTTGTTTGTTTGTTTTTTAAAGGCAAAAGAGTCTGAAAGAGATGGAGCCAAGAAATTCGGAGCTGAGCCGAAGGGAGTATCTGAAACTTTCAGGCTGGCATGCAGAAAGGGAAGAAGTTAGTGATCAGTTAGTAACTTGGAAGGAGAAGCCAGAGAGAACATGGGGTGGGCAGATCTGGACTCAGGGAGTCCCCCCAGCCGGCTGACGTTTCCAAGGTGGCCACTGGGGAGAGAGCCAAGAGAGCGGCCCCTCCCCCAGAGCTCCCTGGGAAGTAGAACTTGAAAGATATTCTGGGAAGGCCAGTGGGGGAAGGGAGTCAACAGTTAAAAAACAAAGTGGATATTCAGCCCAGGTCAAGCCCGACTGTGTAGGAGCTGTTTGGATGACAGGGGGGAACCAGGAAGAAGTTAAAGTCTAGGCCTACTGGAGAATTTTCGAGAATTAAAAACTTCTCTTCCAGTCCTCCTTTCCCAGAACATGGACTCATAATTGGGGGAGAAGGAGGATGTACAATGAAGGAAGGAAAAGGCCATGGAACCAACTTGTGTACCAGGAAGGAAGGAAAAGGCCATGGAACCAACTTGTACTCAGTTACAAATGGCTGCTTTTCCAAGGGGATAGGAATGGGGGAGAGGAGAGGAGAGGACAGACCTGCTGGAAGAACCAGAAGTCAAAGCCACCAAGATACTGGCTGTGGTGACAGAAGTGTGAAGAGAAAAAAGGAAAGAGGCTAGAGCTTCTCTGGGAAGCAAAGGGCTGTCATGGCAGGGGTATGCGGAGGTGGGGGGATAAGTGGCTGGGTTCATGCCATTTTCTATAGATCTCAGGGGATGAGAGTAGGAATGGAAGCAAGAGCTGTAACGGCATCTCACTCATAAACAAGCAGAAAGACTCCAACAGTGCTGAGGCCCTTGTGCATGCTAGGCACATCCTCTATCTCTGAGTAACAGTTCCAGCTCCCGACTAGAAAACCCCTAACTCCTCTGTGGCCGTCTTGACAGCCCATCTCTCTGTCTCTGGCTAAGCTAAGGTTGGAAGATGTTGGAAATTGTGTGGACATCAGGCTAGGTTGAGAAGTTGAGGAAAGGGGTGTGAGGCTCAGACAAGTCATAGCTCTGTTATAAAAAATACCTTTGGGAAGGGGGGTGAGGGAGGGATCAGGCAGGGTCAAGGACATTCCAGAAGCATCCACGGGAAAGTGAGGGGGAGGGGAAGCCTCAGGTTTTGTTGATTCGAAGTTTGAAGGCCACGCGGCCAGCAAACTTGTCTCGCTCATCATCTGTGGCGATATTGGCAGCGTTAATGCGGCATTCTACATTCACCTCCACGTTGGGGGTCACATTCAGGAACTTCACAGCCACCAAGGGCTGTGTATAGTTCACCTAGGCCAGAAGAAGACAAAGACTTAAGCCCCTGGTGCTGTGGCCTCTTTCCCAAGACCCCCATTTTGCCCTTCAGGAGCCACCATCAATGACCTTCCGTGGGACTTACATGGAACTTTTTGCCATAGTAGGGAAAGTACATGAGGTCAATGTTGCCATTGGCAGGGAACATGACGAAATGGCCAAGATTCTCAGCATCTTCATCTCTCTGTGGGGGGTGCAGGAAGGTTAAAGAGAGAGGACGTTAGGGACAGCAGGCACCTGGAAGAGCTCACAGACTTCCCTTGCACCTCCTTCCCCCCAAATTACTCCTCTCAAATGTGTTTTCCTTGAGCTGTGCATCTGCTCTGTAGGGGTGTGTGTGTGTGTGTGTGTGAGTGTTGTGTGTCCATGCACACATGTTCTTATCTGCATGTCTACAGAAAGGGGGTGGCCTGTCTCCCATCAGATTAGATTTCCTAAGGGTGCTAACAACACAGTGGAGGCCTTCTACTCCACTATCAACCCCAAGCTCTTACCCCATCCTTGGGAATCGGTCTCTGGAGCAGAGCCAAGAAAGAACAACAGATAAACAGTAAGGACTCAGTAGGGAGGAGGAGGAGGGTCAATGTGGGGAGAGGACAGCAAATTTCTAGAGAGGACAGAGTCGGGTGCAGGGTTCCAAGGACAACTTAGTTGTAGCAAATGGTGCTAACCGATCAGCAGCTATCAGACATCTAAAGGGAACAGGGAAACAAGGCGAGAAGGAAGGAAGAGTGGAAGAAACACAGACAACCTGGGTAAAAAAGAAGGCAGACAGGGAAGGAGCCAGAGGCCAGGGATTTGGTGCAGGAGGGGGTGGGTCTGTCTCCAGGAGAGCAGGCTTCTGTATCCTAGAGAGAAGCAACAGGGCTAAGGGGTCCTTATAGCTACAGCTGTGCAGTGCCCACTCTTACCCCCTTGTCCCTATAGTGTTGGGGCCTCTGAAAGCAAAAACAGACAGGGAATACAGATGAAGCACTCAGAAACCATGAAGTACAGACAGAGGAGCAGCTAGGGAGGGCTCACACACTCACCTTCCCAACACAGGTAACATTCATACTCTGATTTGCTCCTGCATAAAAGTTGATGACCTGGAGAAAGAAAAGAGGGTGGAGTTAGAAGTTGCCATATCTTGACGTCCAGCCCTCCAGCTCCTGAACTTAGCTTCCACTAGCTCCACCTCTTAGTACAAACAACCAAAAATCTTTAATGCCCATTAACCCCAACAAAAGGGCACATTATTTAACAGATGGTGGCCCCAGTTCCCTCCTCCATGCTCCCTAGGGACCAAGTTCATGGGTACCCGGTTCATTTTGATGAAGACACAGGGCTGCCCAGTGCTGTAACCGTAGTGGGTAGGGTCCCCAATGCCAGAGCAATTGCCCAGCTGTGTCCGGTTGAATTGGCAGGCTCGTTTTGGGTAGTTGAGAACCCCATTATCTGGTTGCTCATAATATCGACCAGGGCGGCAGACATCGTTCTTTTGGGCTTGGATGGAGTCGTTGTAAGCTAGGAGGCAGGAGGGAGAAAGAGAGTCAGAAGCCTGACAGTCCACTTGGAGGGTCCCCAGTTCCCCATCAAGGTCCTGGACTAGCCCCGCACTCACGCTCTAAGAACTTGTTGAGCTTCTGAACATGCTGATCCCAGCTTTCAGTGTCACTGATATTGACAATGACATCAAGGTTCTGAGTCTTGGGGCAGATCATCAAGCCTAGAGTCAACACGAGTAAAGGTTGGGTCATATAAGAGGACAAGCACAACGAGGAAAGGAAACAGAAGTGAAGAACACCAGGATAAGGGATGGGGTAAAGACCTGGGATTGCCTTCCTGGGATAGCAATCTCCTGTGGCATTTGCCATGTCTCCAGATCATATAACTCACAGCTGCAGGGCATGGGAAGAGAGTGAGGAAGGAAGGGAGGGAGGGAAGGAGGGAGGGAGGGAGGGAGGGAGGGAGGCAGGACAGCAGGGGAAGTTCAAGAACTTCCTGTCAAACTCCTGGAAAGAACCAAGTTCCTTGTGAGACACAACAGAGTGTCTGGAAAGGGACCTCTTCGCTCACCTGGTGTGGCCAATCGATCTTGGTACTTGGGAGTATGGTCGGAGACAGTCTGCAGCATCACCCACATGGTGAGGGTGAACATGGCCGTGAGGAAGCCATCGCAGACGAGGTAGAAGAGGAGGATGAAGGCTAGGGTGGAGAGACTAGAGTCAGCAGGTTCCACACCTCCTTCATACCCTCACCTAGCCCACCACCCCCGCTCATCTTTCTTTCCTCTCAAGCTGTGCACTGGGGTAGCAAGGAGCGACAGGATATCTTAGGGCCTTCCCCTGGGAGCCAAAGGAAACAAGCTGGAAACAGGCAGAGCCCAGCTCCAGCCCGGACTCCCAGCCTCCTCCTGGGGCACAGTGAAGCCCGACCCTTTGGAGGCCACAAGAGACCTAAACTGTAGTTGTTGTGACAATTCCAAGAATAGGCCACTGTCGTTCTGCCTCTGATTACATTCCCAAGTTCTCAACCTGTGCATGGTCCTTAAAAGGCACAACTGTTCCTGCTGCATTGGAACTCATGCTTAGAGATACACTAGCCCAAGGACTGAGAGCCAGCAATTCTCAGCCAAATTCTTACCACCTCAGAGCCTAGGCTCCTAAGACTCAAATAGCAAGCACTCTATCTCTGTCTGTCTCTCTCTGTCTCTGTCTCTGTCTCTCACACACACACACACCCTGTGGGAAGCCAAACTTTTGGAAGCAGCTCTGAAATGAGGGGCTAACAGTGGCCCAACTACAAAGACGCTAAGCTCCTGGCCAGAGTCAAGGAGAAGACAGTCTAGACTAGAAGCCTTCCCTGGACATCTTTATCTCATGGCTCCTCTGCTAGGCCTCGTGTGAGGAGGTCATGCTGTTCCAACCACCCTGAGCTGTCTATCAGTCTGCCTAAGAAGACACATTTCCTCTGTGGAGGCTTCTGATTGTTCAAGCAGTCATTCATTTATCCTTCACATCTCACCAGGTCTCTGGTTTCTTGAGGAAAGGGGCTTCAGTGATCTCCTTTTGTGGTCCCCTAAGTCCTAGGTGGGTGGTCTGATGAAATTGTGGCCAATCATTGTGGATATATTGTAAATTATGTCACACAGGATCCCTTGTGCTTTAAGTCTCCACCTTAGCACTCACTGTCTTTTGCAAGAACATCACCCTCACCTCACCTGTGCCCTGGCTACAGACCCTGGCTACATAAAAGTCCTTGTACACCCCTAAGGTAAGGATAGACCGTTCCCCCAAGGCATCAGAGTCCCACGGAAACACCCAGTCTGAGGTTGTATCCATCTCAGCACAGTGACCATTTCTCCCTAAGCCTCTAACATGTGAAAACATCTAGCCTGAAAAAG